GCAAGACACTGCTCTGCTCCCTTCCTCCCTTCTCTCTTCTCTAAGCTAGTAGATGGACAGTTGCTGGAGACTGCTCTGTCCCTTGTGATCCTGTACTGGAAAGGAAGTTCAGGGAAGCTGGGTAGAGAGTTGGAGCTTTTTGGAAACATGATGACTATTAGTGCTTGAGCAAAAAAAAACTTTGCTGGACAATTTGTTTGATGTGGATACATTATTGAAAATGGTTTGAGAGTTTAATGCAACTTTAACCCTTCCCTACACTGTCCAAAATGAAAAATGTAAGTTTTAGATATATCTAATCTTTACCTAATACCAATATTTTGCTTTTGTGTTGAATCACCTGACGGCTTTCTTTATCTTGATGACCTGAATATCGAGATTAAACCAAAGTAAAAAATGTCTTGGCTCCCTTCCACAAGGCCGTTATAAAGCTGTCACTCTCTCATAGCTGGATAACATGCTTATTCTGCATCCTAGTGAATCCATAGGAGAAGTTTCACGCCATTGTTCTGCTTTGTCATGGTTGCGGGAGCTAGGTGAAAGGGGGAAATCAGAGGGGCATATTTCATCGCCGGAGTCCCAGACTGATATAGGCAGGCAGTGCGTGATTCAGCTGTTCACTTTAATTGGGACTGCTGCAATCCTGTTTTAAGGGGAGACGTCTGAACCAGACAATGCTATACTTTCTGTCGCTGCCTAAAAAGCCGATAATGACCAGGATGAATATTCAAGAAATATTTCACACCCGAATATGTTATCACTACATAATCTGCACCTGCAGTCAAATCCGCGGAGCTGTTTACACAGGCAGATGTGACAAGGCAGAGTTGAGATAGATGATTTCCATATGCTTGTACAGAAAGGAGAACATAAGATGAATTATATTATCATCTTGTTGTAAACTATCACGTATCCCATCCTCAAATATGAGCTCATTGGACCCCTATCTTGAAAAAAAAATTCAATGGTTCTAATGTTTATTTATCAGTTATACTGTTATGTTCAGGGGGACCTATCAATAAAGTTTCCAGTTCATATGAAACTAATGCCTCATTCACACGAGAAAAGGCCGGTACGTACAGCTCTGTGATGCGCGCACGGCCGTATCGGGCAGCTCCCGGGAAGGACAGGTGCTGCGTGTGATTAGTACGCAGCCCCTGTCCTTCTCTATGGGATTACGCGGCCGTACTTCGCCCTATGTTCACCCTCCCTGCACGTCCGTGCGTGTACGGGTGAGCGTACTCGTACGCTGACAGGATGGATCCTGTCTGCGTCCGAGCAAGGACACCTGCACCCGTACGGACCTGCACTTGAGGTGAGCATAGGGGGGCGTATGGCCACATAGTCCCATAGAGAAGGACAAGGGCTGAGCACTAATCACACACAGCACCTGTCCTTCCCGGGAGCTGCCCGATGCTGCCATGCACGCAACACGGAACTGTACGTGCTTGCCTTTTTCTTGTGTGAATGAGGCCTAATGGTTTATGGATCATTTACTTTTTATCTTTTTAAGTTTATAAACCTGTTGTTTTACATCGTTTTTGTTACTGTCCTTATACAATCTTTGTTTTGCAATTAAACATTTAAACGTGGCAAAGGTTTTCCAAAGCATTATGGATTATCTAAGGAGAGGGCACAGAAGTAGACTGCTGTGAATTAGATACTCTGTCTCTGATTCAAACCTCCAAAGTAGGGGCAGGAAAAAAGTGTGGCGAGTCTGTATAATGTATATATATATATACAGACATATATATATATACATATATATATGTCTGTATATGTGGCTCTGTGTATAAATTGCAGCTTGAGCTTTTGAGCTCTGTAAACAACAGGCTTGACATCAAAGGAACTAACTGAGATTGTGAACAATGTAAAATGAGTCTTAAGCTCCCCCTACTGGCTCTAAAGAAGAATGTAAAATGTTTGTATGCAGTATTTCATTTTTATCCGAAAAAATATATTTTATAATGTATTCAAATTTAAGAAATAAATTATGTTCAAGACCATTATGCATTTCTTTTAAAGGGTCAGTTTACACATTTCTGTTAGTTGCCAGAGGACTAAATCAAAGTAAGTTTTTAATATGTCTCCTGTTTTATAGTTAAACAATAAAAGTGCCACTCACTGTGTGGAGAAGGCAGGTCCAAATAAAAAGAATAAGTGGTCAGGTATTCTGCAAGCCCCAAATATTGAGGGAGCCCTGACATGCAACCAGCTTTGCCCACCCTCTTCCTCCAGCCAAGCCTCACTATTAGTGAGTCAGACAAATATATTATGGGCCAGTAGTAAAGCTTAGGAGGTAGAGGGGGGAGGACCATGTGAAGAGGTGAATATTTGCATGTCAGAGCACCCCGGTATTCTAGAATGTGCTGAAGAATATCTGAGCAGACAATTAGGTGTTATCTCATACAGAAGCAATTGTATAGATTTAACATAGGCACAGGTGACTTTAAGACATATTGCTCCCTTGGCAAGCCTCTCTGCACAGGGAGCTATATTGGAAGGTTGAACAAGATGAGACACAAAAGCCACAGTAGTGCTGGATTTAATTCTGCAGGCCCATGTGTTGGGGACCTGAAAATCCTGCACCAAGCACCCTGCTGTGACTTGCAAAATACAGTAGGAGATAGACCTCCTATTGCCATGTATTATGGTTACGGATCACGTCCTTGTGCTATAGCAATCTTCCACTGACATATAGTGCCCTCTGGCCATATACGTACACATTTATTAAATCATTTCTAATTTATTAAGAGGAAGGACTAGGTTTATTTATTTTTCAAATTAACATAATCTTGACCAGTGAGTTTTCAGGCAATGAACGCCAGCCAGCTATATCTAAATAGAAGGGGGAGTGTTGTGTCAATTAATTTTGTGGTGTGGCGGTGCATCAGCTCTGCTGAGCATAGGTAGGGCTCAAATGGACTCTTAAACAGTTTTAAGTGTATGTGAAGGCATTTTTTCAGTTTTGGAAACAGTGGAGAGGGGTTAGTCCCCCTGCCAGATTTATATTGCTGTCCCCCCTCCATTTGTCCTAATAATCATTGTCACTGAGACAGAAAGTGACGGAAAATCCAAAATGTTATAGTTGACACCAGAGCAAGATGTGAGTGAAAACTAGGGATGCACCGATACTTTTCGAGTCTGTATTGTTTTAGAAAAACTCACATGACAATAAACAAAAATGTATCAGTACTTGTACTTGGGCAAGTACCAGTACTTGTACTCTCAAAACTGGTATCTGTGCATCCCTTTATTTATATTTATAAAAACAAAATCGTACATTAAAACAGAGATGTACAAATCCCAGGAGCTCCGTGTGCTCCTTACAAATGGACAGCTGCCGCCTAACTTTTGAATTTTTCTCTAGTCTAGTCTTGGAGCTGGAAAAGTATCTGTACTTGTGCTTGTACCGAGTACTGTACTTGGTATGGTGCATCCATAGTGAATACCCTTCATTTGAGACACATGATCCTGTGACAGTTTTCTATGGTGGGAATTCTGCTCATTGCAAAAGGATTTCTTCTCATTTCCTGTTGTTTCTCCAGGACAGGAAGTAAAGGGGAATCTCCCCAGGACACAGGCAGCAAAAGAAAAAAAAACCCCAAACACCTAATAGTGGTTTTATTACTTCCCTACTCTATCCTAGCTCCCAAAAAAGTTTTAGCTTTACATATACTTGTCTGTCCTATATAGGGATACATATACTATCCTACAAAGGGACTGTATAGATAAATTGTAACAGAACTGAGGGTTAACATTACATTCAGCCTATTAATTCTTCTAAGTTGCTTTTTCATTTACAATATCTTAGCAGAATATTGTGAACATGCAGTGTAAAACGGGCAGTTAAAAATGGTTTTGTGTTCTTGCCAGGGTCCAAACAGACGTCTTACTAACCCAGGGGAAAGTAACGCAGGCTGAATAAAACAAATTCTTGTTAATTAATGCTAAGAAACTATAAAAAACAAACTCTGTAGTTTATATTTTCTTGGTTTTAGATTTTAAAAATGTAATTACGTCCAATTTCCCTCTAATGTTTTCAGTGTATTTTTTCACAAGGTATTTGTCAATGATTATTATTGCAAATTAAAATTATGTTTTTCTGCATGTCACAGCCTCTTGAAAGTGAACCTGTAAAGATGGAAATATGGGAGATACCATTGCTGATTTACTAACAAGTAAAAGCTTTAAGTTCCAGGGCTGCAGTCCTGATCCTTGCATTGCTACCCATCGATTTGTTAACCTGGAACCTGCATGCAGCTAGGACAGTCTCAAAATAGTAATATCTGTTCTAAATACTTGCCCCGGGTTAGGGACTACTTACAGGGTTATTTAGAAAAGGGTGAAGAGTTTGGAGAAGGCAGGAGAAGTGAACAATCTAGGACAACATAGTAAGTGGTAATTATGTGATAATGCATTACATTTTTGGGGCATTTCTTCAATTCTTAATGCTGAATTTATCTTATTACAAATGATGGTAAACTACCTTGGTTAACATTTAGAGGAATGGCTAGAAAGTGGCCAGTGATCTATTTGCCAGTCATTCACTATGTTGTCACCACTAAATGTCTACTGGAAAATCCACCACATTTATAGTTCACATTCTTCTTTTCCCCTTTCCACCATTTATGTTATTACCATTTAGAATCTAGGGAGTCACTGCCAGAGAACAGCTGATAAACGCAGTCAAATCCTGGCATGCAAATGGGGCTGTTTTCAACTAAGTTCTTTAAGAACGCACTGTAATTACATTATGGAGGGCAGACACGTAGGTAAATGCCCTTTTATTTTTTACTTTAGCCCCACTTTAAGTTGTGTATAGCCTGTGAATTTTTAAATAAAGTTCTGTGATATGAACATACGGTAGTGGCACACTATAATATATGTTTGGAAACGAGACGTTGTACCAGTCTGTTGTTTCAGCTTCTGTTTGAGAAATAAAGTAAAAAACAATAAAGAGACGTTTGAAACTAAATGGGATGTTTTTGTCTTTGCAGGCTGGGCGAAGACTTCTATCGGGAGGCTATAGAGCATTGTCGGAGTTATAACGCTCGCCTGTGTGCAGAGAGGAGCATGCGACTTCCTTTCCTGGACTCCCAGACCGGCGTGGCACAGAACAACTGTTATATATGGATGGAAAAGACACACAGGGGGCCAGGTAAATATTATTTTTTGGTGTGGGTTTCCTCTGTGCTGCTGGGGAAGGGCTGCTAAGCACTAGTACTGGAAGAAAAACTGTACTTAACTGATATCTGTGTATATTTCCCCCTCACTTTCTATCTCTGGTGGCGCCTCTCACCAGAACAGGAAGTGATGAGAGATTATGCCAGCGGAGACACTTGCTACCTTAAAATCCCAATAAAATACACATTTACTTTTTCTAGATGTCTTTAGGATTGTCACATGATATGCAGGGTCCACTTCCTCAATGATATGGAGATGTGCTCTCTGCATTATTGTATGTGAGTACAGGTAGTGACTGCAGGGAGAGGGTCCATGACACCCTGCACTTACAAGTTGTCCTCAGTCTTACGGGTTGAATCAACTCAGACAAATGAGGACATCTAGTGGCAGCAAGGAATTACTATGGGGGACAGCACCTGGAGAGGGGGGTGATCATTGAAGTAAAAACATCTTTATTGTTTTGAACTACTGCTCCGTTTCCACAGTTGCTCAGAGTTGCGCAGTAACCCTTCTCCGTTTGATCCAAAACCTAAAAAATATGTTTTAGATTGACTTCTACTTTTATTTATTCCTGGGATCAGAAAATAATTTTCCATTTAGGTTCCATGACAACCTGAAGGTTCATTGCTCCTATTTTTCAGTTTTGTATGTGCACTAGTAGGCTAAATTACCTGCTGGTTTCTTAAAAGACTCCAATGACAAATTTGTCTTTAATGAATTTGTGTCTTATTCCCCTGGACTTTCAACTGGACTTTCAGTGTACAGTAAGTCCCCTACATACAACCATTAAGTTATGAATTTTTAAAGGATACAAACATGCATTTGCATGTCCAATCATGTAAGTTAGCTCACATATCTGGCATACATTGCCATGTGTGTGCTTTTGTGTACATTACTGTACAGTACTGTATAGAGTACAGTATCTTTATATCAAGCCCAGGATGTCCGTAAGCAAGTGTAAAAGCAGCAGTGATGCAGTTGGGCACCTAGGCTAACTTTGTTGGACTTACAAACAAATTGGACTTAAGAACGTGCTCTCGGAACGGAACCCGTCCATAAGTAGGGGACTTACTGTATTTCTATATTGCAAGTATAATCTATGATTGATAAATGACACCAACATTTGCCCTTATAATGGCTGGAGCTGTTAAAAGATGGAGAAAATTTTGGGAAGAATGTCTTACAGCTGAAGTCAATTTGCCAGCAACCATGCAAGCTGATATATCAGTGGAGTTCACTTTTAATTATGTGACTATGCCCAATGATATTGATATATCGGTTTTAGGTGCAACAAGCCTTTAATTATGTGACTACATTATGATCTAGGACAGGGTGGGCAACACTGGCCCTCCAGCTGTGCTTTAACTAAAAATCCCAACATGCCTCTGCCACTAAGAGTCATGCCTGTAACTGTTAGTTTCCAATGCCTCATGGGACTTTTATGGAGGGCCAGAACTGCCCACCCCTGATCTAGGAGTTAAGCCCATAAATGGTTGTTTTTAGAGAGTGCTATAAGTGTTACTAGAGACTGGACAGGTGAAAATTGTATTTTCTCTTAATAACACAGAGATTAATAAGATCTAAGAATAAGAGATACGTTGGCACTGCATGCTATTGACTCATGGGCACTAAGAACAAATAATGTTCACTGACTATAGAGGTGCTTTTTATATAAAGGGACAGTAATCCAAGTGCATATTTGTCTCTGAAAGATAAGATTCCTCTGTATATAGACAGCCTAAAGTGAATCTGTGCAGGGCAAAGCAACAGTTTCACTTTAATGCAGGCCTCCATAGATGCATATACTGTATTTACCTTTTTCCACCCCCATCGCTGCTCTATTCAGCCATTGGAGTAAACGCATAGCCCTGTGTACACTGTAAATGGCCAGAGTCCTAGGTTACACAGGATATGGACTTTGAGTGTGACCACCTTGATGGGTCCAGTGCTGTCAGAGGTAGTAAGTCACATGCTCCAACATACTCAGAAGTAAAGGATATTTCCTTTTGCTCCTAATGCTCAGTGGCAGAGGAGCAAGGGAAATCTTACAGAGCTAGGTTATTGTTTTTCTTTTAAATAAATATTCATGTAATTTTATTGGTATCTATCTTCATTTTGTACATTTACCAGTAGCTGCCTCATTTGCCACCCTCGGCTTATATTCGGGTCAATACTTTTCCCCAGTTTTTTGTGGTAAAATTAGGTACCTCGGCTTATATTCGGGACGGCTTATACTTGAGTATATACGGTATATGTTAACAGGGATGGGGGGTTTAAAGCAAGCCTGTTGCTTCACTCTGAATAGAATTTCTGCGTGTTATTGCATAGATGATAAGCCATAAATGAAAGTTTCTCACCTCTCCCTTTGTGTAGGCTTGTCACCGGGACAGATCTACACCTATCCTGCACGATGCTGGAGGAAGAAGAGGCGGCTGGACATATTAGAGGACCCTCGTCTGAGGCCCTGTGAGTTCAAACTTGGTAAGAAGTTAGTTTGGGGGGCCCCAGGTGTTATCATGCAATGCCATCGCGGGACCTGCAACACATTGCACACCAGGTCTGGAGAGACAGAATAACAACGGTGCAAGTCTGCAATTGTTGTAAGTTCAACTGAAAGTCCATTGTAGATTGCACAGTTGAAAGATTTAGATAATTAGCCGGGATAGTTCAGGTAGAGAGAAACCTAGTTGAAGCATAGTGCCATGGCTTCATTGTTTATTCTCTAAGAACTAAGCAGTAGGATTATAGCATTATCTCTCATGCACAACCAGTAAATTGGTATTGTGATGAATGACTTATATAGCTAAGCAATACAGGTGGATGATTTTTAAAAAAATGGGCCCATGGTGTACAACTTACCTTAAATTTCCTTATAGCAACAAATCAGAATTCAGCTGACAGTATTCTAGAGTGAATAGGAACATGTAAAAAATTAGGTATTTTTTTTATATCCGCATTTATTATGAAAATTTACAAAGGTGGCAAGAACATTTCAATTGCCAGTACAAGCATAATTAACGAAACATTGAGCATTTAGTTAATAATTATATGAAACGGACTGTATACAGTAGTCTTATATGCAACACTAATTATATAGTAACCCACAATGCACAGATAACATTGATTTATCCAGTGTATAGAAATCACAGTCTATTATTAAGTGCAGTGAGAATTAATAGAAGGGGGTGGGCAGGAAGAATTAGTTGAAGGAGGCTAAGCAATGAATCTCATAAATGGAAGCTGGCTGGACAGCAAGAATTAATAGAAGGAGGCTGAGCAAAGAGACTTTTATAATGGGAGGTTGGTAAGGGAGAATTATTAAAAAGAGGCTGGGCAATGAGACTTATAAATGAAAGCTGGACAATGAAAATGATTACATGGAGGCTGGGCAGTGAGGCTTATAATTAGAGGTTGGTTATGGAGAATTATTAAAAAGAGGCTGGGCATTGAGACTTATAAACGAAAGCAGGACAGTGAAAAATGATTAGATAGAGGCAGTAAGAATTTTTAGAAGTAGCCTGGGCAAAGGGACTTATAAATAGACGCTGAGCAGTGAGAATTATTAGAAGGAGCTGGGCATTGAGACTTATAAATGAAGGCTGGACTGTAAGAATTAATAAATGGAGGCTGGATAGTGGGAATTATTACATGGAGGCTGTGTAATGATACACCGAGAATTATTACAATTATAGAAGCTGTGCATTGATAGTCATAAGCTGGAGACCCCCTGCTGAGAATTATCAGTGGTGGGTTGAGCTATGTGAAGCCCACATGTGAGAATGATCCGATGGAGGCTGGTCAGTGATAATTATCAGACAGAGGCCCACTAGTGAAAATTATCCAATGGAGATTGGTCAAAAAGACTTATGAGTTAGAAGCTGGGCAATGGAAAAATCAGCTAGAGGCTGAACAGTCAGATTATCAGGTAAAGACAAGCCAGTGTGAATTATCAGGCCCACAAGTAGGAACTATCACTGGGAGACAGACTATTGGCATTTGTCTGTCTGAAGATAGAGCAGTGAGAAATATTAGTTAGAGGCTGGTTGGTTAGTATCATTAAATAGACTTGTTAGTATTATAGGGTGAAATCACCCGGGGAATGTTTTGTGAGGACTATTAGCTTAAAGATGCATTGTGAGAACTGAAGTATCAAATGAGGCTGGCCACTAACAGGGTTATTCACAAAAGGGTGAAGAGTTTGGAAAAGGCAGGAGAAGGGAACAATCTAGGACAGTGGTGCCCATTAGGTAGATCGTGATCTACAAGTAGCTCTGAAAGCTGATGCTGGTAGATCACGAAGGGTGTGAATGGCGGCCCCTTTATTCCATTTTGGTATATTTATTTAGCTATGCACACATGAATACCTATTAGCCAGAGTCTGGTGGATACTGGTGGTTGAAGTGCTATGTATTACATCAAAGAATATTAGTTTACACAGCCTGTTGCAAAATACAGCAAGGTGAGCCAGGAGAGAGAGCGAGGAGAGACAGACAGGAGAGAGAGGAAAGACAGCCAGGAAAGAGAGAGAGGAGAGACAGCCAGGATAGAGAGGAAAGACAGCCAGGGGAGAGAGAGCGAGGAGAGACAGCCGGGAGAAAAAACAAGGAATGACAGCCAGTAGAGAGAGAGCTAGGAAAAACAGCCAGGAGGAAGAGCAAGGAGAGACAGCCAGGTGAAAGAGGAAGGAGAGACAGCCAGGTGAAAGAGCAAGGAGAGACAGCCAGGAGAGCTAGGAGAGAGATAGCGAGGGAGTTTTTTTGTTTGTTGGTAGATCTCATGTAGTTCGTCGTTTGAAAAGTAGATCTTAACACAAAAATTGTGGGCACCCCTGATCAAGGACAACATAGCTGATTTGGAAAAATTCTCCAATTCAGCTCAATATCCAGTTCAGCTATGCTGTCCTAGATTGTTCACTTCTCCTGCCTTCTCCAAACTCTTCACCCTTTTGTGACTAACCCTGTAAGTGTTATTAGCGGGATCAAGCAATGTCCAAATGGACTCCAAAGGTTATGTGCTACAATGTGTTCAGGCTCATAGTCTATACATGCCAGTACATGGCATATAGAGAACTACAGTCTTGTAGATTACTCTGGTGTTAGAGTAGTACAATGCTTTGCAGGTCTCTCAAAATGCACTTTCTGGTAACACCAGGAGCAGTTTTCAGGAAATTTCGGTAGTAGAACCCAAAGTTTGTCTAAATAAGCAATATGTGATAGATATAACACTGGGCTCTATAAATGTGTTTGGGGGCTAAAATTGAAGTGTCAATGACTGTTTTTATACATTTTCATGCTACCTACTTATATTATATTTTACTTAAATTATATTTGATTCAATGTTTTTATTTTTCAATATATTAGGGAAGAGTTAAAACCCAACCAGGCTTTTTTTTTTTGCCATCTGTGCACTGCTGGGAGATTCGCCTACACTTTCTGTCCCACGGAGAAAAAAATGTTTTCTTGGACAGAAGTCACTGGAAAATGTGCCCCCCATTGGAAGATTTCCCCTCTATTCCTGTTGTGGTGACAGCTCAAAATTTGGATTTCTGATCATTGTTAGTCCCAGTGACTGGTCACCAAGAGAAATAGAGAGGATGAGTCTCTCCAGCAGCGATATGCATAGCAATTCAATCCTGACAGTGTTGCTTACCCTTCCATATTCTATCCTAAACTATAAGCTTTGGCTTTGGATGCACTTTGAACACTACTTAATTCATTCCTTTAAAACTGTTATCACAGAGATGTTTATTCGGGTTGAGGTCAGGGTTCTGTGCAGGTCACACAAGTTCCTCAAAACCAAACTTGCCAAACCATGTCTTTATGGAGCTGGCTTGGAGCACGGGGGCACAGTTATGCTCGAACATCAAAGGTCTATTAGACCCCTAATGTCACTTTTGGACACCACTGAAGCTGCCAGGGAAAGACAGCTCCAGCAGTATTCAATTCTGGAAGTGACAATATGCGTGCCACTTCCGGTGTCATTCACAGAAGTTGACTCCCACCATGCCTGAGCTGGGTCCACAGGAAGGTCAGTGGATCCTGGGATACTCTATCCATAACTCATTTGCCTCTAATTATACTTTAAACAAAATAAAATGTATAATTACTAAACAAGAATTTTGTAATTTAATGTAATTCAAAATGACCTTTTCATATGTCATTTTAATTTTGCAAAACTGCTAGAATATTTTACTGTTTCTTATTTACTACTAATGGAGGCTGGGGGCATTTTTTAAACTGTTTTTGTGGCTTTTAATGCTGACTGTATGCTCCTCAGTGAGATTTCCCTGTACATTCTGTTACCATAGACATGGCAGGAAGTCAAACATTCTCCCCAAAGTTAAGGATCCTACCTCTTACAGTTCTCACTGGGATGCGTGTCACCACTGGAAGATAGCTACTCTACTTCTACAGTGAAAACTGTGAAACTTTTCATTTGCTCTCACTTTTTCTCCTGATGACAATGTTCCCCAAAAATAGCTTGGGTGAATCTCCCCAATAAGGGCACAGACATAAATAGAAACTTGACCGCGTTACCCACAAGTAGAAAATAAAGTTTCGGCTTAGGTTCTACCCCTAAAACTTATTCTTGCCTCAATTTACCCAACTGAACTTAAAAGCTCCTCTATCACGTCCCAAATCCAGTTGCATTTTGTGTGTAAAATCTATAGAGCCCAGCATTCTTCGTAGACTCTTGCTTATGCTTGCATGCAAAGTACAATGAAAGGATATTGTGTGACAGTCTAAACAAGTACCAAATCCAAATGTGATGAACAAGCCTCATAAAAAAAAAACTTCCTTTACCTTCCCTAACTGAGCCAAATCCTCCTTCATTTGTGTTTTACACGTTCCCCTTCCCAGACACTGCAGCTCACAGTAGGAGGGATTCAGCAACAAATGCAGTGCTGTCAATCCACAAAGCAGTGGGTAGGTCTAGGTGTCACCAGGTGCTGATTGACAAGCTACAGGCTTGTGAATCAACACTGACAATGCTTATTGCCACGTTCCCTCAACATCTTCTCATCCCACAGTAGTGCAAGCAGGCACAGCCTTTATGAGCGTGGCAACTCTGCTACAGGCGCAGTGCAGCATCGTTGGCACACATCAAAGGAAGCCACATTAGGTGGACTTTACTGGCAGGATGAACAGATATTTGTGGGACTTTGCAGAGGGAGAAAACTGTAAATGCAGATACACTTATAATGAAAGCTGAACTATACTCACCTCTACTCCAATGATGCAATGTTTGTGAGTTCCTTTGCCTGGATCTTTCCACCAGCTTATTCCGTGTTCAGAATCTTCAGGTATCTTGATTGACCAGGCCAGGATGACGTAACTCCCTGTGCACGCACATGGGAGTTATGTCAACCCAGCACCCGGCTAGGATTGTACACTGAGCTGGGCACACACAGTGTAAAGAGTTTGCAAGGAGTAAGGTAATCCTTTTTGTAGAAGAGACGTAATCTGTATATTATATTTTTT